AAAGGGACAGGAAAGGCAAAGTCGTGCTTGGAATCAGAATCTTCCGGCATGGAGACCTGGTCGGATATCCCTTCTCCAGATGCTGCCAGGATGACTTGGAGCTTCATTTCTTTTCTTTCCGAACTTTTCCCCTTTTGGAGTATTTCCATATACATAAAAAGGTATTTGGAAAATGGAACCCATGTCTAGAAACAAAATTCACTCATGTTTCATATACACTTTATATATACAGCCTATAGGTAATTATATGCAGGTGTGTGTGCGTGCACACACAGACACAAACACACACACACGTATGCATGTGCTTGAGGAGGTCAGAGTACACTTCATGTGCTCTTCCTCAGGATATTTCTATCTTGTTTTATTTGAGACATGGTATAATAAAGGCTAGGCTGGCTGCTCAGTGAGCCCTAGGGATCTACCTGTCTGCCTCCTCAGCTTTTTATGTAGGTGCTGGGATCGAACCCAGGTCCCCTTGCTGGTGTAGCAAGCACTTTACTGACTGATCTATCTCCTATAATTTCATGCATCAGAATGTCAGCCATCAGGTAGCTAACTAGCTCTGCTAGATGATGGGAATTCAGGCTAAGTTGCCACTACTGGTCACCTGCGAACTTCACAGAGCCAGTCTTGGTGAAGGCAAGTCTGTTTTATGGAGGTTGTAAGAATATAACCCTTCTCACTGGAGCCTTCTGCTACCAAGAGACTTGATACAGATGAGCTTCTTTGCACTTTGGAAGCAATGCATATTATATAGAGGTACAAATGCAGCACTGTTCTTTCAGCCTGAAAAACCTACCTCTGTTAACTGAGTTCAGAGTAAGAGAGGAAACGTCTTAGTCCAGAGATCAGCACCTGTGGCTCTGCCAGTTATTTGTCACTGTCACTCCACCATGAGCCCATCAGACACATATTGGGAATGAAATAGAAATGAGGCTCACAGGGGCTGGAGAGATGCTCAGCAGTTAAGAGCACTGGCTGCTCTTGTAGAGAACCCAGGTTTGGTTCCCAGCACCCACATGGCAGCTAACAACCATCCTTAACTCCAGTTCCAGGGGAATCTGACACCCACTTCTGGCCTTCATGGGCATTGCACAACGCAGGTGTACTTACATACATGCAGGCAATACTCTCATGCCCATAAAATAATAATAGAAAAAGATATGAGGTCCAAAGACATCTACAGAACTTGTCCTCATGTGTGGAGTTTTGCAATCATTCTCATTTGGCACATTCTAAGGCCATCCAAGGTGGTTTATCTCCATATCTTTTCCCCAAAGATTCATCAGTCACAGATCTAAATGCTTTATGAGTCTTTGATTGTGACCATCATCTCTACTTTGACTCTAACAGGAAAATGAGATTTTCCTGACATTTTTATCTCATCCTTACTTTCTACTATAGTTACATTTTACTGGGTTTCAAGTGCACTCACAGACTATATTACCAGAATACCATGAAAATATATTTATAAAATAAGTGAAATCAATTTCCTTTATTAGCCAGTCAATGAAGAATGTCCCATGAAACCAGTGTCAGTGTTGAACAGGATTGGCAAGGCAGCAGATACAGGAAAGCAAAACTTACATGCAACTGGTTCACGCAGTTTTGTTTCTGCAGCAGAAGCTCATATCCACTTCCAGTCCTCACTTCTTCTTGCTTACGAAGTCCTGCTTAGAATGCATGATTTTATATTTACATAGACTAGAGAACATTCAGTGCATCTGGGGCCCCCTAACTCAATGGTCACTCAGTTTTCTCTGCAGATGAAAAGGTTTTCAAAAGTAAATAGTGCTAAAGAATTCTAGTCTGTGCTCTGAAATCCTAGGACTCTCTCCTATCATTTCTGCTGATCCATGCCATATGCTTCCCATGGTGATTAAATCTGCTAAAAGATTCTGAATCGTAGAGTTCACTGTGTCGGGTGCATTCATGGCAGCCTAAACCAACCAGAGCATGTTTCTCTCTTATGAACCTAATCAAACCTGGCAGCCTTTGAGGCCAAAAGTCAAAATGTTCTATTTACAACTCAATAAAATATAACCGGACTGTGAAATGGAAAGAAGCTCCATGACCCATGGCAACGTGAAGCCCATGAATGGTTTCCTAACTCTGAAGGGAGCATCCTCATACACCATAGTCTCACTGACCAGTGGTTGACAAACAGTAGCCTTGCAGGTCAAATCCAGCTGGCATCTGTGTTTTTAACAGCCTGTGAAACTTGTTTAGAGGGCTCAGTATAAGGGGTGGTACCTATGTAAGAGTCTTGACTTTGCCTTTTCACCCTCAAACCCTGAAGTATTTCCTAGAAACTGTAGTAGATGATTTTTCTCCCATCGTCTGGCATTTAGAAATCTTCTCTCAAAATCCTGCCATCATAGGTAGCCCTTGACACCCCGTCGAATGACAAAATAGAGAAATATCCTGAAGATCAAGTTATACTGCAGAGCTGATAAAACTTTGAACAGGATGGTACAGCATACTGCAGCGCCATCCAGGTGAAAGGCATATTATTTAAGGTGTGGGGGGAGATGCCAGATTCAGCTGTCAAAAGACAAAATTGCATTGATTTGCTCCCAAATCACTGTCCAATTACTGTTTTGACAGTTCATCCCTTTAATTATAAAGCCATCTCTACAATGCAAGCTGGAAAGCTAAAAGGGTACTTTAAAGATGAACAGCAGGGCACATTCCTAGTCTGTGATGATGACTTGAGGCTTCATAAGTCCATCAGAGATGCAGTGTTGGTTTTTATTTACCTTCTGGTGAGGCACGGAATAGGGGAGACTTCCACTTTGCACTCCTGTCACAAAGGTTCATACTATACTGGGAGCCCAGTGATGGTTACCAACACTGGTCATATCTATCACCAAACATGCACCATACATTCAAGAACCTAGTGAATAACCACAGTATTGGTTCATGAGCTATATAGTTCAAAACTTGGTTCAAAACTCTATTAAATTTCCCAACACCTTTGATGGTAACCACCCTGCTGCTTTCTGTACGAAACTTTGTCTTTGCACTGACTCAGATATGAAAGTTGGCCAAGTGATCAACATGGTTGACAGTGCCAGTCCAGATTAGAGCTATCTAATGCAGGTCTGTTCTTGAAGCTACCAGAATGACGACGTGAAGTGTCCCCTACTGTCTGCAGAAAGGGATGCACCTCAGTCAACATCTTGATTTTTAACCCACTGAGACTCATGTGGACTTCGGTACTTCCAAAGCTATGAATGGCACATGTTGCTTTAAACCACAAAATGTGTGGTCATCATAATATTTTCAGAAAATCTAACACAGTGGTGTATTGATCTCAGTTCTGTGGGACCTGTAATCTAACAGTCAGTGTCAAATACGTCTACATGTTAAATGTGATTTGCATACTGGTTCAGCAGCCTTCTCTTGTAAATATGCTCTCTGTTCTTACCTTTAGGTACCTTTACGTCTCTACCATCCAGGGATTCTGTCACCTTCATTAAAACCAGTGATCTCATTTGCAATACAATATCTCTGAAAAAATTTCTCCAAAATGTTTTTCAAAAATGCTGTATTTCTTACCACTGGGTCAGAGTGTCTTAGGCATCCTGAGGAGACACAGTTGAGAAGGTGCAGGAAGACGAATGCCGTCCCTTAGTCTGGGGTTTCTTCCTGAACATTATACCATGAAACTGTCAATACCAGTTTCAGCTAATGCCACTTTGAATTAAAGTTTTAGTCAACCAACTAATTATGATTAAAAATATAATGAAGGGGACTAAGGAGATAGCTCAGTTGGTAATGCAATACCCCGAGTGCCTCCATTTTGTGTAATTTTAACGGGTCAATCATCTGGTCATAGGACCACCCCTAGGAAGGCAGGTTATGCTAAATAAATGGGGGAAGTACCTAGTACTGTAATGAGATAGCGACTTTTTCCTCCTGTAATCCTCCCTGTGGGCACAGAACTTCCTGGCTACAGTCATGTAGTCTGTGAGTTGCCCACTTCCTTGAATTCTTCTTCAGGGAAGCATAATTTCCCTTTTTCTTCTTCATGTCTTTCTTACTAACCATGCTTTCCTTAAGGCTTTGGGCTGTCCCTAGCATCTTGTGTTTCTTCACTTTTTCTCTAAAGCATCCTTCTCCCAGCCATGCGTCTGTGAGTCAGCCCCCTATCTGACCTCCACGCAGGCTCTAAACCTGCATGGCTCCATGGCTTTCTTTCCTTCTTCCCACTATTCACCTCCTCAAGGCAGCTGCCAAGATACCCAGCTCGCCTGCCCTGAGGATTTCTTTTACTTTGAAATTCTAATAAATTGTAAATGCTTAATTCAGCTGATTTAGAACTTTTTGAGTCTGGGTAGTCCTTCCCGGTTGTCCTGAACCCCATAATAGTAAAGTGCTTGCTGCACAACCATGAAAATGGAAGTTCAATCTCCAGAACCCACACAGAAAAGCTGTCCGTAAAGCCTGTGCTTATAATCCCAACACTACAGGGACAGAGACAAACAGGTCTGTGGGGCTTGCTGGCCAGCCAGCCTAGCCCAGATCATGAGCCTCAAAAGACAAGGTGAACAGTGCACAGGGAACAACAGCAAGATTGTTCACTGTGGGGTTTTTTTTGCACATAAACACAAAACCATGTATGTACACACACATACATGCTCAACACACACACTCACAGATACAAACACACAGGTATGCACATACAGATGCACATATACACACATTCACACTCACACAAATATACACACATGAACATATACACACACACAAACACACAGACTAGGTATGAGACAGGGTGAGTTCTCTGATTCTTAATATGAAAAATGAGAACAAAGGCATTTCTCTAGTTTATACTTTATGCTATATCCTCAGCAAACTCTCCCTCTTTAGATTCTGTTGGATAGGAATTAATTTAAAAATCATTTATGTCACCAAAATAAGATACTGTGACTTTAGGTAAGAAAAACACACTTAAATTTTACAAGGGAATATCACTATTTAAAATAACTGAACAAGTACTGTATGAAAGGAGAGAAGGTTAGCACTCTCCTTGACAAGGATAGAAGAGGCCCTTGAACCGAACAACACACATATGTTTAAGGAACTGCCAGCCACTTTGTGACATCTAACCACTGTGTTTAGCTGAAGGCTATATAAGAAGAAACAGAATCAAACAGGAGATACTGCCCTTCAAGTTGTTGGCCAGGGTAGTTCAAGAGACTCCCAAAATTGCACAGCTATTGCCACAGCCCTTGACTGACTCCCAGAACCCTATTGCTGAACACAGAACATACTTCAGACACAGAACTTGGAACAATGGAGCTTGAATGGACCTGGAAGCCACCTCACTGAAGGCTAGCTCTCATAGTTTTGGAGAACACTGTGCAAATTACTAGGGGAGAGCATCAATTGATGGTCCAATCCCAGAATTAAGACCTAATAACCACAACAATGACCAGTGCGGGAAACTACATTGGGGCAGTAGAGGCACTTTTATCTTGGGGATAATCAACAGCTACCTAATTGGGCTTAAAACCCACTCAATGGGCAGGAACTCGTGTGTGGTACTGTAAACATAGCCAAATGTACATGGTCAGAGAGGGCATAGATCTTAGAGAAAACCCCAAGGCTATCACATCCTTAGACAAATATAATTTCTTACTATTAGGGTTTCAAACTACTGCAGCCCTCCCCGTCTCCAACAGGGTCTCATGGAGTTTGGATTTCTCAAGGCCCTGAGAAAAGGGAACCGAGCTGATAAGCACCCTGGTCTTTGAAGTCAAGGGAAGCAGACTCTTCTAAGAGGCAGCCTGCCTTTCCTTTGATCTCCGAAGACAGGATAAGCAGATTCCACCTTTTAACCAGAGACTTTAGGAGCCGCTTTAGTACAGCAGCTTTTCCCTTGTCTTAAGAGGACAAAATTAAACACTTCCTGACCCAGATCCTGGCTGGCAGACAGAAAGGAAGCTGTTTTACAAGCCCCGCTTTTCCTGCTTTCCCCGCCTGCTTGATTTTTTCCTAAAACTTCCCACCTTCTGTACCCTGAAGGCCCCTTATATAAGCCCCAGCTCACAATCCATGAGCTGACATTTTCCCTTCCCCAAAAGGAACGTGTCCCATACGAAATAAAACTCTATCCCGCTGAGAGTTTTATCTGTGTCTTGGTGCTTTCTCCTGATCAACTCTATCCATTCGTTCTCCAGCTACTTTTTACCTATCACTTACTATGTGCTAAATATAGATCATTTTATTTGCAGACAAATATGCTAGTCACCATGCATCAAAGAACCTTTTTTTTTTTTTTTTTTAACAACAGATGGAGACTATTACAGAGTTCTACAACTGCTCAAACACAGAGATTAAGTGTCTGTGAAATGGCCAATTCCAAGTGACACATCTACAATGGAACCTCTACATCTGAGGCTTATGGAACACAGTGAACAAGGGGTAGAGAGAAACACTAATGAAACTTTCAGCTCTCATCAATGAAGCTCCCTCATGCAACAGAGGGAAACGAAAACAAAGGCCACAAATGGCAAAAGCGTAGAGGATAAGAGTCTGCAGAGTGTAGGTCCTTGGACGGGACTCCTGTATCAAACCTCACCCACCCAAGGCTCAGGGACTACTGTGCAAGAGGGGTGAGAAAGATTGTAAGAGCCATAGGAGGAGGTACATGACCACATGGATACAGAGTCTTACAGGTTCCTGGAATCCTGCTCATAGAAACTTGAAGCAGTGGTGTCAGCATGTACAAGACCTATGCAAACTCAAGCAGACAAAACCCCAGCACAGAGCTGTGGAAACAGGCATCATGTCCCAATCTTAGCCAAAAACTATTTGAGGAAGAGCTGACCTTCTTTAAGAGAGGGACTCTCAGTAGGCTGACTAGACCCCAGTGGATGAACTTGCACTGGGGGCATCAGGGGACACTAACTTGACTCGATAGGCCTTAACATAAATGAAAATTCATGAAATCCAGTTTGAGGGGTGCTGTGGGAGAAGGTGGAATATAAAGATGATTAAAGTGTTGGGTATGAAATACACAAAAATGAAATAAAAAATTAAAAACTGAACAAATATTCATTTGCTTAAATGATTTTTTTCCTTGAAAAACTAGTAGTATCCACCTAATCTATTAAAGATTGGAATTCTTTATTTTCTTAAAATCTATTCAGGTGTTTTAATCATTTAAATGAAGGAAAAGAATTCTATCCTTTTTACTATCATTCTACCTTCCTAAAAGTGACTTATCTCTACCATTTGACTAACACTCATGACCATCTGAGCCTCCTGATTTTCTAACATTCAAAAGCTGTTTGTTATTTTATGAGCGAGTTATATAATCTCCATCAAACCAGTGGGTTCACATTAGATATTTCTAGTTTTTTCTTAAACTAAACTCAAAGTCCTCATTTTTTTTCCACAAAAAAATCTTTTAAGAAAAATTACACTGTCTTAAAGAATTTTCAGATTAACTTCTAGTCAAATCCTGCTTAAAAGATTTACTTCCTCCAGCAAAGAAAGGCAGAGCTTAAAATAAAAATGCAGTTTCTTCGGGAGAGCTCAGCAGTGCCAGCGTGCTAGTGGATCAATGGCTGCACGGGGAAGATGCAACTCGCATTCTGCAAGGAGCAGCTGTTTCTTGATGAAAGGACTTGGGTTCTGCTGCTGGTTTTCAGAACCAGACAGGACATCTGACACCCAGCAAGAGTTGAGCAGTGCGTGCTTTTTGTTTTGTTGGATTTTGTTTTGTTTTTGATGCTGACACTTGTTTCTTAACATGCTCTACAACAGGACCACTACAACAGACTGCAGTGCCTGGGCATCGTGCCCTTCATGTAGCAGTGGTATTTTGGCTGATATTAATTTTGTTGTCAAAGATGCAGCTGTTGAAGGAAACATTTTGAATTTTTAGTACCAGCTGCTATGCTGAATGAACAGGAGTTCTCCGAGCGTTGGCATCCATCTGCTTTCTAAGTGGGTGATACTGGTGTTTGGAAAAGAGGGAAATAAGTCGCCTATCTGCTCTTTCATCCTGTGTCACATTACAAATATTGCAATACACCAATTAAAATAACATGGTTAGTATATGCATAAGCTGAACTTTTAGAATATTTAATTATTTATATTATAGACAACAATGGCATTATCAATAGTTCAAACCAAGATCTGAAGTGTCAAAGTAAAATAATAAAACGGAAACAAAGAGAGGAAGATAAATCAGGGTCAGTGGGCAATTTGTTAAGGGAAGTGATAAATTCACACCCAGCAGAATTAAATTGTTTTTAATGTTCATCATTTTAAAAATTTAAGTTAATATACTTTTCTAATATTTATAAAATCTTACATATAAATAAGATACCCAATGATATTTTAATATGCGTATACATCATGTAATGTTTAAATCAGGGCAAAATATCTATCTTTTCCAGCATTTGACCTTTATTTATGATGAAAACATTCAAATCCTCTCTCATGGCTTGAGGTAGCAATGCACCATTCTATCCCACAGTTACCTGACTCAGCAAACCAAAGCCTTTTCCTCCCATCTACCTGCTGTATCCGCTGATGATCTTCAGCATCAAGTATCTTATTCAAAGGTTGTCCTCTAACGCGATATAATTTCCTCCAAAGAAGTATTTGATGAGTTGGTATAAACCAAAACATTGTTATTTATCATATGATGGATTTTGCTTTGGCGATTTGGGATTTCTTTGACAATGATTAATTTCAGCACCTGAAATTTCCCCAAAGTTAAAATACAGCAGAAATAAGACACTTCTCTGGAACACACGTCTAGGCAGAGTATCATTGGTGTACAATAGCATCACAGTAAAGGTCACCAGCAAGCATCACACAAAGTAATCTAAGCAGTGGAAGGCGGTGTTTTGGTAAGAAGATTGTATAAAGTGATTTGGGATCAGAACTCCAGTGGGAAATCACTGATGCAGACAGGTCTCTTGACAGAAAGTTTTAAAGCAGCTGATAACAGAACTTTTTGGCCTTTCTCTGAAGCCATGAGACTCCTGTGAGAGATGCCCTATACTTTGAGGAAAGGAACATGCTTCTCTCTGAAGACACAGGGGTGTGGAGGATCTGAGCCTTTGGCTGTTCCTTGAGTTATTGTCACACTCTCTTTGCTCTTTGAGACTTCTGCTTGCTCCTTTACCAAACAGCATAAAATACACAGATTTCCCTGTCTCTCAATCTTCATGTCTTTATGAATTTTCCCACATCATATAAAACAATATTGAATAAGTCTGTGATATTTTATTTATTATTTTTATATTTTTATGTGTATGCATGTATTACCTGCTTGTAGGTAAGTGCACCCGTGTTGTGCAATGCCTGCGGAGGACAGATGAGGCTGTCGGATCCCCTGGGACTGGAGTTACAGACAGTTGTTAGCTGCCACATGGGTGCTGGGATTCAAACCTGGGTCTTCTGCAAGAACATTCAGTGTTCTTAACCACTGAGTCATCTCTCCAGCCCCAATCTGTGTGTTTTTTATCTTATTAAACTGTTTTATATTGTAGGTGCCTCAGATAGAAACCTAAAAGTGAGTGAAGATTTCTTTTCTACCCTGCAAACATCCCCGAAGAGGATAATTAAATAACAACAAATACTTACTAAAGTTATTCTTATAATTGTTTTGGTTTTTGCTACAAAAAATTGATATGATTTGGGGTCCAACACCTACACTGCTAGAAAGAAGAAAGAGATTAAGTAATGATAGTTTACCTCTGTCTATTCTCCGTAGAATAGCCATGCCCTTTTCCAAATAAATGATGAAAATTTACCAACATTACCTAATGACAAAATTATTAGCTACTGTAACGTTTTAGTGCAAATCCCCACAGGGTAAAGGCCACACGTAAAGCCTGATGTGCTATACAGTCTCAGAAGATTGATTTTATTCAATCAATAAAATGGGCTGAAAAAATTAATAGAAAAACTGACATTTCAGCTAACCTTAAGAAATAGGAATTCCTTTGCTGTCCTTAGTGAGTGGAGGTGCCCTGGCAAAAAGAAAACAGGGACTCTAACAGAAGTTTGAAAGTGTTCATGAAGCAACTGGTGGTCCCTGAGTTCTGAAGGCCTGGACCATGATGGGAAATAGGATTGAAGGATCGAAGGGCTG